CTCTGACGGCCTATCGGGGTTTGGCGGCAGGGTAAAAAAATAGCAAATGTTTGTCGGGATTTGTACTGAAAATATGAATCTGTCAGCACTAGAATGCCGGTTTTCCACCAAACAGACAAAACAAAAACAAAATCCAAACTCAAACTTCTCCCGAACATTTTCAAGATTAGCGTGTTTTGTGACAGGTGGAGTTTTGTTTTTCGGGTTAATTTCGTGTTTTAAAACATGTTTTAAAACACAAACTCAACAGTCCGTTTGGTGGAAAACCGGCATTACAGTTTTGTTTTTGTTTTAAAACATGTTTTAAAAATATGAATTTGTCAGCACGAGCAGATTTTGAGATACGATTTTTTTGATATCTTCACCCCTATTTTGACACCCTCTGACGGCCCATCGAGATCTGATGTTAGAGTGAGAAAATAGCAAATGCTTGTCCAAATTTATCCTGAAAATATGAATCTGTCAGCACGAGCAGATTTTGAGATATGATTTTTTTGATATCTTCACCCCTATTTTGACACCCTCTGACGGCCCATCGGGATCTGATGTTAGGGTGGAAAAATAGCAAATGCTTGTCCAAATTTATCCTGAAAATATGAATCTGTCAGCACGAGCAGATTTTAAGATATGATTTTTTTGATATCTTCACCCCTATTTTGACACCCTCTGACGGCCCATCGGGATCTGATGTTAGGGTGAAAAAAATAGCAAATGCTGGTCCAAATTTATCCTGAAAATATGAATCTGTCAGCACGAGCAGATTTTGAGATATGATTTTTTTGATATCTTCACCCCTATTTTGACACCCTCTGACGGCCCATCGAGATCTGATGTTAGAGTGAGAAAATAGCAAATGCTTGTCCACAATTTATCCTGAAAATATGGAATCTGTCAGCAAGAGCAGATTTTGAGATATGATTTTTTTGATATCTTCACCCCTATTTTGACACCCTCTGACGGCCCATCGGGATCTGATGTTAGGGTGGAAAAATAGCAAAATGCTTGTCCAAATTTATCCTGAAAATATGAATCTGTCAGCACGAGCAGATTTTGAGATATGATTTTTTTTGATATCTTCACCCCTATTTTGACACTTTCTGACGGCCCATCGGGATCTGATGTTAGGGTGGAAAAATAGCAAATGCTTGTCCAAATTTATCCTGAAAATATGAATCTGTCAGCACGAGCAGATTTTGAGATATGATTTTTTTGATATCTTCACCCCTATTTTGACACCCTCTGACGGCCCATCGGGATCTGATGTTAGGGTGGAAAAATAGCAAATGCTGGTCCAAATTTATCCTGAAAATATGAATCTGTCAGCACGAGCAGATGTTGAGATATGATTTTTTCATATCTTCACCCCTATTTTGACACCCTCTGACGGCCCATCGGGATCTGATGTTAGGGTTGGAAAAATAGCAAATGCTTGTCCAAATTTATCCTGAAAATATGAATCTGTCAGCACGAGCAGATTTTAAGATATGATTTTTTTGATATCTTCACCCCTATTTTGACACCCTCTGACGGCCCATCGAGATCTGATGTTAGAGTGAGAAAATAGCAAATGCTTGTCCAAATTTATCCTGAAAATATGAATCTGTCAGCACGAGCAGATTTTGAGATATGATTTTTTGATATCTTCACCCCTATTTTGACACCCTCTGACGGCCCATCGAGATCTGATGTTAGAGTGAGCAAATAGCAAATGCTTGTCCAAATTTATCCTGAAAATATGAATCTGTCAGCACCAGCAGATTTTGAGATATGATTTTTTTGATATCTTCACCCCTATTTTGACACCCTCTGACGGCCCATCGAGCTCTGATGTTAGAGTGAGAAAATAGCAAATGCTTGTCCAAATTTATCCTGAAAATATGAATCTGTCAGCACGAGCAGATTTTGAGATATGATTTTTTTGATACCTTCATCCCTATTTTGACACCCTCTGACGGCCCATCGGGATCTGATGTTAGGGTGAAAAAATAGCAAATGCTTGTCCAAATTTATCCTGAAAATATGAATCTGTCAGCACGAGCAGATTTTGAGATATGATTTTTTTGATATCTTCACCCCTATTTTGACACTCTCTGACGGCCCATCGGGATCTGATGTTAGGGTGAAAAAATAGCAAATGCTGGTCCAAATTTATCCTGAAAATATGAATCTGTCAGCACGAGCAGATTTTGAGATATGATTTTTTTGATATCTTCACCCCTATTTTGACACCCTCTGACGGCCCATCGGGATCTGATGTTAGGGTGGAAAAATAGCAAATGCTTGTCCAAATTTATCCTGAAAATATGAATCTGCCAGCACGAGCAGATTTTGAGATATGATTTTTTTGATATCTTCACCCCTATTTTGACACTTTCTGACGGCCCATCGGGATCTGATGTTAGGGTGGAAAAATAGCAAATGCTTGTCCAAATTTATCCTGAAAATATGAATCTGTCAGCACGAGCAGATTTTGAGATATGATTTTTTTGATATCTTCACCCCTATTTTGACACCCTCTGACGGCCCATCGGGATCTGATGTTAGGGTGGAAAAATAGCAAATGCTGGTCCAAATTTATCCTGAAAATATGAATCTGTCAGCACGAGCAGATTTTGAGATATGATTTTTTTCATATCTTCACCCCTATTTTGACACCCTCTGACGGCCCATCGGGATCTGATGTTAGGGTGGAAAAATAGCAAATGCTGGTCCAAATTTATCCTGAAAATATGAATCTGTCAGCACGAGCAGATTTTGAGATATGATTTTTTTGATATCTTCACCCCTATTTTGACACCCTCTGACGGCCCATCGGGATCTGATGTTAGGGTGGAAAAATAACAAATGCTTGTCCAAATTTATCCTGAAAATATGAATCTGTCAGCACGAGCAGATTTTGAGATATGATTTTTTTGATATCTTCACCCCTATTTTGACACCCTCTGACGGCCCATCGGGATCTGATGTTAGGGTGGAAAAATAGCAAATGCTGGTCCAAATTTATCCTGAAAATATGAATCTGTCAGCACGAGCAGATTTTGAGATATGATTTCTTTGATATCTTCACCCCTATTTTGACACCCTCTGACGGCCAATCGGGATTTGGTGTTAGGATGGGAAAATAGCAAATGCTTGTCCAAATTTATCCTGAAAATATAAATCTGTCAGCTCGAGCAGATTTTGAGATATGATTTTTTTGATACCTTCATCCCTATTTTGACACCCTCTGACGGCCCATCGGGATCTGATGTTAGGGTGAAAAAATAGCAAATGCTGGTCCAAATTTATCCTGAAAATATAAATTCTGTCAGCACGAGCAGATTTTGAGATATGATTTTTTTGATATCTTCACCCAATTTTGACACTCTCTGACGGCCCATCGGGATCTGATGTTAGGGTGAAAAAATAGCAAATGCCTTGTCCAAATTTATCCTGAAAATATGAATCTGTCAGCACGAGCAGATTTTGAGATATGATTTTTTTGATATCTTCACTCCTATTTTGACACCCTCTGACGGCCCATCGGGATCTGATCTTAGGGTGAAAAAATAGCAAATGCCTTGTCCAAATTTATCCTGAAAATATGAATCTGTCAGTACGAGCAGATTTTGAGACATGATTTTTTTGATATCTTCACCCCTATTTTGACACTCTCTGACGGCCCATCTGGATTTGGTGTTAGGATGGAAAAATAGCAAATGCTTGTCGTAACTCATCCTTAAAATATGAATCAGTCAGCACGAGCAAATTTTGAGATATGATGTTTCACCCCTATTTTGATACTTTTGGACCGCCTATCGGGATCTGGTGTTAGGATGAAAAGATAGCAAATGCTTGTCGTAATTTGTCCTGGAAATATGAATATGTCAGTACGAGCAGATTTTGAGATATATTTCTTTTTATATCTTCAACTCTATATATTTTGGCATCCTCTTACGGCCTATTGAAATCTGGTGTTAGGGTGAAAAAGAGCAAATGCTTGTCACAATTCGTCCCTAAAATATGAATTTGTCAGTACAAGCAGATTTTAGAATATATTTTCCTATATTTCCGACGCCACTGGCCGTTCGGCAGTTTCCGGAAGTTTTGGAGGCTATCTTAAGAGGCTAATTTCACACCGGTACATATGGCGCCCCATACGTATCCGTGTTCGAGTCCGTGGAATTATCATTAGAGTCTAATATTGTCTGCAAAATTAATGTGTTTTTTTCTAGGACGTTGAAGATTAGATGCGGATTTTTGCATTTTTTTTTGTTGAAATACATTTGAGGCCTATGCTGGAACAACGTTGCAAACGACAATATGTGTAAAAACGGTATTTCCGTCGAACAACATTGTACGTACCCTGGATAAGCCGCCGACTTAATAGTGGAGGCATAGGATTTTTTCTTGATGGGTTGTTGATGCCATTTCAATGTCCAGTTTGTCCTTTTTGCGGAACAACATTTTAGGTGCAACCTCGCCCTACGAATTCCTAGCAAAACAATATTTGGCGTTTGAAACGTTGTTCCAGCATAGGGTTCATTTCTTCTGTGGAGTAATTGGTAACTTTTTTCGCTCATTTGTAAGTAAGGGGAGTAGTTCATTTTTTGTTTTCGATTTAAAGTGGTCAATACTGGGTTTATAGGCAATAATGCCTGTTTTACCACCCTATAACTTTCCACAATTATTAACGTTCATTAAAATTGAATCGAATTTCTTTTGCACAGTTTTTCTGGATCATCCGAATATTATATTTATACTAGGTATCCTAAATCCAAACTACAAAAAAATTTAATATTTTTACAAATAATTATTATCTTGTAAAATGGGCTTGTAATTTTCTTTTGATAAAAATAAGAATGGTTAAAGAAACGATAGAAATAACAATTAAATTGTTGTTCTCGATTTTCTATGCACCAGAGTAAGCTGTTCGGCTATTATCGGGTTTGCTCCAGCTGTGACGGCTAGACTCTAGTTTTATTTCATGTTTCCGAAGCCACCTCTAGGAAGCAATGTCAGGAGAATCTAGTAGTGGATAGAGCAGGAGCTGGAGGTGAGTGTCAGTGGGGTTTGAAGCCAAACCAAGCCACTCTATATGTTTGCGCGTACGGCGGCGGCGTAGGTACAAATATGTTACCTATTTCTATTTCCGCTATTCTAGGTATGCTTGTGTTCATTTGGAAAATTAAATTACTGTTTTTTTAATTACCTATTGTGAAAAACAGCCTTTATTTTCTGAGCGCCGGTCTTAGACTCAAGTTCATCAATTAGTAAGTACCTATAATATCATCTTACAATTGATGAGACACCCTGTACATTCACGGGTTAACCGATGGAACTGTAAAATCGCTAGATAAGCCGACCAGTCCGTTTATTAAAAACGCTCAAGTAAATTCAAAAATTATCTTTATTATTAAAAAATTCTAATGACTTGCGTGTTTTGTATCATTGTTGCCATAAAATTTGAATTCAATGAAGATAACACCAACCAGTTGATTTTGTTTATTCTCCAATTCGGTCAGATTCTCGATTAGACATGTCACAAATTCCTGTATTTTTTACGAGAATATTCAATTTGAAAAGAAAAAATTTATTTGTAAGTAGTACCTATATAGATATAGTTTACCTACCTATTCGCTTATGTGCCTATTTTTAGCAAGAACTAAAAAACTCTAGAACGATTTTTACTTCGTTTATTTTCAATAAACAAGTACAGTTTAACCTATCAGATATAGGAGAAGGTATTCGAGAAGTAGTAGTAAAAGAATGGTTTATTAAAATTGGAGATAAAGTTTCGCAATTCGATAATATTTGTGAGGTACAAAGTGATAAGGCATCTGTTACAATAACAAGCAGATATGATGGTGTTATTACAAAACTGCATTATCAAATTGACGACATAGCCTTGGTTGGTCAGCCGCTTATCGACTTGGAAACCAGTGAAAAAGCCGGTAAGAAAAATCTATTTATTTAAAATTAAGAGTAGGTACAGTACCAAATGAACTTTTTCACAGGAGTTAGGGATATGAAGCTTTCTTTGCAAAAAAAAACAAAGTCTATATTTTTTATGTAAACATAAACTTTATTAGGATAAATTAACACTTTTTGAGAAACCTAAAAGAATAGTAGGTACCTATATTAAAATACAAGTGGCAGAAGTCCACATATTCTCGCACGAATTCGCGAGTGGACGAACGAATGAGTGCGAGAATAGTCTTCTGCAACGTGAGTTTTATACTATTTTCTCGCTGTTAATTGGAGATTTTTTTTTCCGCAAAATATGTCAGTTAGTGACACTTACTACCAACCAACTTATGGGCAACATCCCCCTTAATTGTCCACTTTCGATTTTTATGCATTCGGTTAACCATCGGTTTAAACTTAAAATATATAAGTACTTCGCTACCTTGAAAAAAAATGTCTCTCATTAAAAAAAAATTTGATTCTCTTGGTGTGATCATCCAAAACTAATCAACCGGGTTTCTTAATCTATGTGGAAATCGGAAGTAAATCGGGAAAATCCCGGACTATCGACAGTTATGGAAAATGGCAGTGTGTTACATAAACAAAGATTAAATGGAAAGTTTGAACTAGGTACCTATTTCGCATTTGATTTTGTAGGCATGGATTTATGCTTTTTTAGGATTCTTTGCGTGTGGCGATATCTACCTTCAAACATTTATTCGGATTTCTAGCAAGTTCTTTTACAATAGACTAGGATCCATCCTAAACGTCCCAAAGCAGCATATGCTGTTGCTTCATTTCCAATAGGATTCTCAATATTTTTTTGCTATAAGCCCACTTCTCATCTCAAGTAGATATACAGATATACAAGCTACAAGTATGTGAGATGGATTGGATGCCTCTATTTGATTAGTCACAAATACTCTGAAAGTAATTTTACGTGTATTTTTAACATTATATCTATGTAAGTATATTATTCAAATAAAAGTTTTACAATAGTTATTAATGATACTAGTTCGATATGAACACCATAATGAAACGCGTGTAACGGTAAACCACGAGGCATTAGCCAAGTGGTTTAGTTTCACAAGTTTCATCAATAAAGTTCATATCGAACGTGTATCATTCAAAATTTAATCCACGATTGTCCAAATAGATTTGATTTGCAAAAAAGCAAAAACTATTCAAATTAAAATTTAGCAGGTGCCCAAACTAGTCGGCGAACGCGCTTGTGGATTTTCGGAATTTTGACTTTTTCAGCTTCAATACTGGAGTCCATTTTTGTGTCATAATATCATGCAGTTTTATACTGGAAAAAAATATTAATATGGATGATTCTGAGTTCGAAAGTTTCCCTTCAGATATCGTGACAGCATCAATGAAAAGGTTCTTTTGCAACTAAGTTTCTTCTTCTATATTTTTTATTGCAGAATTTGGGTGTTATTCCAGGTATTCTTTCGATCTGAACAAGCTGATCACAAAGGTTTGTTCATTAGGCGTCAAAAAAACAGTTAAGGCCAATGATATCGTTGTTAAACCAGAAGACAATTGTTTGAAACAAACCTCAAGTGATTTCGATCAGTTTAATCAGATCGAAAAAATACCTCTATTTATGAATTTTTCATAATAGCACTAGTGCCATTATGAAGGACCTAATGAAATTCAAATGAGAATGCTAAATGTGTCATAATGACATCGACGTAGATTAATTAATTAAGACCTTTTTCTATTAACTAGGCGCTTAAATATAAATGAGGTACTTACTAGAGTGAGAGTTCTTGTTTTCGTCCTTTTGCAACATCCTTCCTCCGTATAGCATACCTTGAGCCAGAGTGATTTCTTCATGATTGCATTTCACCCCTGTCCCAAGCACCCTCAACAACTTGCTGCTTTCCGCTTCTCCTCTTCAATTTTCAATATTTAACGCGTTTCTTTGCTATCTCTTTCAATATGACAGCTTCTTCGCGTGTTTTAGTCAAAATCTAGTTCTGTTGCTTTTTTTAAACTCTATTCCTTTCAATTCTGTTGTTCCAAAAATGCGCGGTAGCTGCTGTGAGCATTCCTGGGCGAGAACGATTAGTTTCTGAAATCGGCATGAGAAAGGAATTATGTTTGATTTTTGCAAGCCCGAAATGTTGTTTAACCTGACATTAAATCTTCTCTCATGTGAAGCAAATCCTTGCTGATGCGCTACCACGTGGAAGATAAATCGCTGGTTCTAATACTTTCGTTAACATTGGATATACCCATTCAAAATTATTGAGCCAACTTCTTCAGGATGTTCTCTTTGTATCTCAAAATCTTCTACTCGTCAGCGAGCTCATCTAGACTAAGTTCTAACTTGGAACGGTAGTTCTTTGCGCAGCGCTTAGCTCTTAGTAGCTTTATCTTGAAGCGGTCCATAATTCGAACTTCATTGTCGTCAATACTTGACACAGAAGTGATCCATTATTACCTAGGACCATAAAAACCTTTATGTATGGGGTAATTTGTTCGATTGTCCGATTTTATCTCGCTAGAGGCAGCAGCGTCAATCAGCTCTTGTAATTAATTTTGCGAATTCTTCTCGCTAGATGGCAGCGTCAATGACAACGATCTTAATTTATTCATAATTTGCACTAATTTGTTCTTTAAAAAAAAAAAAATTTCAATAATATACATTAAATTATTGCATTGTACAATAATAATATTGGAACTAAATATATCTAAGACTATTTTTGTGAACTGGAAACGGGTGTTCCGGTTAAATCTGTTTTGGATGTTTGACAGGTTCAAGTCTTTAAGAACTATCCAATGTTGATCCAATCGGTACCTATATATTCTGTGGTCGGGAGTAGTTGTGACGATTTTCGAACTATTAGATTTGTTCTGACATTGAGGTTAGAATTATTCACAAATTACAAATTTTTATATTCATTTTCCTTGTGCCTGGATTTTGAGTAGTTCTGTTATTATTATTTAACAAAGGAAGTGCTCCAGACACCAAGGCCGTGGAGCTTTCTATTAGCAGTGAATTATAGGAGTGACATTTGATCATTCTGACATTCTAAATAAACAATTAAGCTTAATTCTCACTTGCGCGAAATTCGCTCTTTTTTGAAATTGCTTCGACAATTTGACGTTTATTGATACACGCATAAAACGTCAAATTGTCGAAGCTATGTCAAAAAAAGAGCGAGTTTCGCGCAAAAAGAGCGAATTTCGCGCAAGTGAGAATAGTGGAGTAAAAACGATATAAAAATGTTTCAAATTTTTTTTTGCAGGTCTAACCACATGAAACCTATACAGGATGATCAATTATGCTGTTGTGCATCTAAAATGGCTAATTACGACTTTTTTCGCGGGGGCAGATATTTTTTATCTCAAAAAATGTGACAAATATGTCCAAATGTTATTTTCGTGTTTTTTTAAACCCACCACGCGATAACTCCGGAACTAATAAACCTATCAACATATCTTTTTTTTAATCGGTAGAGGACATATGAGCGGTGATAACTGTGCTAGTTTAAATCCCATAGTGACTCAATTTTTTTTTTTGGAAACTGGATTGAACTTCAAATCGTACTTTAAGTGCAGCATGTTTTTCGGTAAGCGAGAAACTTTTTTATTTTGTCATAGTATCTGCGTATGATATGACAAAAAAGTATCAAATAAGTTAAAAAAAAAAAATCAACCATCTGGAACAAATAGTTTTCTAGTTATCCTCGATTAAAGTTATGAATATCCAGAGCGCGCGATGTACCTGCTTGTCGGCGATGCCGACGACGGCTTTGGCGGACGTGGAGATTTTACTGCGGATTTGAAAGTTGGTGCTCGAAAGGTTCCAAAATTTAAAAAATTTATTAAATCTTCTTCAAATAAAACGGCATTAGTAAATTATTCAACCAACTATTTCTTGGAAAAGGGGCCTTCTATACTTAGCAATGAGAAAAAAATAATAATAGCAGGATTCAAAAATGCTGAAAGTTGCTTTCTGCTGACCAAAAACGGTAAACCACAAAATTTAAAAAATTAAATAGCATCCAAGAAGAAGCTGATACGAGGATAATTCTCCACTTATCAAATGATCTTTCGACTTGCAATTCCATTCTAGTAAAATCTGTGGATACAGATATTTTGATTTTGCTAGTAGTCGTCTATGTAGGTATGTGATGTGAGTATTTTTGTGAAGTGTAAATACAAGTGTCATCTGCGTAGATGGACATTTTAGTATGAGGATTATTGGGGATGTCAGCTGTGTAAATATTATAGAGCAGTGGAGCCAGGACGGAACCTTGAGGAACTCCTGCTTCTATAGGTCTGACATTTGAGAAGGTATTTTTGTTGAGTTTGACATGGAAACTTCTGGCTTCTTCAACCAACCTGGCAAGCTGAATCTAAGTAGAGTGATATGAACGAAAACCAAATTGTTCATCACGTAGAATGCTATCAAGATAATGTAAGGATTTGAGCTTTTCCTGAATTATTTTCTCAAGAGTTTTAGAAAGTGAAGACAGAAGACTGATTGATTTTGCTTTGTTTTGTTTGGACCGCATGGGGTGCACCCTCTGGACGCGGTTATCCAGTCGGGCAGTAGTTAACTGGCTATATTTAGGGCACCTTTTATAGCCCCTTCCTATCAGGGTGAACAGTGCGGATCCTGAATAGCATTGCTCAATCACGAGTTGTTTTACAGCCAATCCTTGAACAGAACGGCGATCACGCTTTCCGCCGGCTCCGTGCTGCTTTGTCACTAAGGACACTAAAGTGCTTCCAGACTACATTAGCCTGATCCCGTCACAACTTGCCGATCGCCGAAGAACTTTGGAATCGTGGGCGATGGGTTCGCTACATTCCCACGCCATTTAATATTAACTTAGACTTAAATAACAAGAACCTCATTGATTGAAATCAATCAAATTATTTTAATAATCAATACAAAAGACAAAAAATAAAAGGCCTGTTAAGTTTTGCCAACGTTTCGCCCAAAAGTTTAGGACTTCATCAG